GATGGATGGATTTTCGTTTGTCTGTTATTGATTCATTCTGTCTGTTTCCTCAGGTCTTTGGGTATGTGAGGTCTGCGACAAAGATTTCACCACACCCAAGAAGAAAGGAGGAGCCAAAACACCTAAGAAGTCCAAGTCTGCTCAAAAATGACCTACGAACTACTTTGACCATAGTATCTTGACCAAATGCTCCACAAATGTCAGCTGTTCAGCTGCATAAGCTGTAAATCTTGAAAACATCAGATCATTGTTTGTCCCAATAGTTTTGCTGCAGAATGATAATCATAAAAGCCTAGTGTGTGTTCCAAAATAAATATATAAGTAAATAAAAACCCACTAGTGTTGCCTTCTACCAAGTACCAAGAATCCAAACACAAAAATCTTAACTTGTCGTTGCTCTCTGTTGATTAGCAGATGACACAACAAACTTCGTAATCATTTCTGTGAAAGCTGTGATGACGTGGTTTATGTACGTGATGATACATCAGGTGTCCATCCACATGAGGCATTAACTTGAGCACAGCAGCTCTGTTACAAACGAATTCACTGAACTCCAGACAAATAAACTGTGCATCAAATCCATCCAAATGTACCACACTAAATTCTTCAATCTAACCACTAACAATCTCACAATTTTCTTACCGATGACTGGGGTTGTTTCTGTCTGATTGTGTTTCTGCAGTGGTAAACTGCTGGGGAGTTGTTTCAGTTGAACAAATGGTGCTTTTCTGTACTACTGAAGCAATCAGAGTTAACAAGAGCTCACTGATGTCGTTCAGTTTCTTTTAAAATTACATTTTTTTGTATGTTTGTTTTGTATCCTATTACTTACAGTTTGTATTTTTAATAAGTTTTTTTATTTAATGAGGCAGGCCAGTAAAGATCAATCTTATTTAAGTGTTGTCTGACATAAAGACACGGTGCTTCTGATCCTGTGTAATGAAATGTAATAGACACTGGCTGTGGTAGACCTCATGGCTGCAGAAGTGAGTCTTGATTATCAAAACAGAGGGTCTCAGTCCTTTGCTGTTATTGTCGTACAAAAATGTAACCACTTGTAATTACTTTGAATTGTAATTACTCTGCAATTAGCATCACTCCACTTGATGATGAATTGATGTTTTTGCAATTAGCTTAAATATGTTTTTTTTATTTTTTTGTTATTTTTTGCCATCATTTCTTTTTATTTTGTACTGTCCTGCAATAAGCAGGCTGCTAAAGGAATATTTGTTGCTAATAATGTCACGGTCACTGATATCTCAAGTGCATTTTCAATAAAATCTGCTTAAAAAGACTTGATTCAAACCTCATCTGTTGTGTGTGATGTTAAATGGAGCCCTGGTCAGTTACAATACGTGTTTATTCTACTCTAATAGTGTTTCTGTTGCAGGCTGAGCAGGAAGTTGAAGAAGACTTGAATAGTCTTTAACTTCAATGTTTCTCAGTTTTGCCTTAAAGATACAAAGAGGCTCTGTGGTCCAAGTGTCTTGCTTTGCCATTGGTGAGTCTGGGTAACGGAAGTATAGAGATAAACAGCCTACTAACCGTATATGTGTAACCATGTATAAATGTGAGATTATTAGATGAATGACACTTGATTATTAAATGTCTCTCAGCCCTCAGAGGACATTAGCAACATCTGTAGTGCAGAGAAAAGGCAGATACATACAGCCGATACATTCCTGTGTTTTTATAATTTTATTGCCTGAATAGATGTCAAACATGGTTTTTACAACTTTGGTATCAACCACCCGAGCAAGGGATTTAATACCATTAGTAAACTATATGGAGCATCGTGTAATGTCAGTTTTCAGCCACTAGAGGACTGCAAAGAACTGATATTGCAATGTGAACATTTGTATGATCGATATGAGCGTTAGAGACTTAAATCAGACTGCACATATATACAAAGAGCTGCACAATAATGTTTTTGCCAAATATGAAATATACACAATTTACTCTGAATAGAAATAGAGTCACAAAACAAGTTCTCAGCACTGCTCATCATCAAAATGTCAACATCACACAACTAAGTGCACGAGGTCGTATCTTATGT